AACCGCCTGTTAAAAAAAGTGCAGCACAGGATCCTGCATTTAGTCATGTTCAACGGCTGTTCATACAGTCCTTTTAACGGCAGTAGAGGCGGTGACAGAATGCCAAGACTGAATGCAGCTCAACGGAACAACGCCATTGGGAGATTACAAGCTGGAGCAACTCAGCAAGAAGTGGCCAGGCACTTTGGCGTAACCAGACAGACAATCTCCGCACTGTGGCCCCGATACAACAACACCAACAGAGTTGACGACAGACCAAGGTCAGGAAGACCAAGGGTGACAACCCAAGCACAAGATCGATACATCCGGCTGCGACTCATCCGCACTACCACAGCCACGTCTACAACCACACAGATCCCTGGGGTACGCTGAATATCAGATCAAACGGTACGCAACAGACTGAGGGAGGCTGGACTTTTTGCACGATGACCTGTTCGTCGTCATGTATTGACCCCACGTCATCTGGCGGACCGTCTGCTTTGGTGCCAACAGAGGGTTAGATGGGCACGTGCAAGGTAGAGAAATGTACTGTTTACTGACGAGTCCCGTTTCCTACTCACACGTGCTGATGGGCGCGCACGTGTCTACAGACGTCGGGGTGAACGTTACGCCCCCAACTGTGTGCAGCAGGTTGTCCCATTTGGCGGCGGGAGTGTCATGGTATGGGCCGGAATTCATCACGGTGGTAGGACAACTCTCGTGCATGTGGCAGGTGCATTGACAGGTGTGCGTTATAGAAACTTGATCCTACAGCCTTACGTTCTTCCTCACGTCAACGTTCATGGCGGACAGTTCCAGCAGGACAACGCTGGACCGCATATTGCACGTGTTTGTCAGGACTTCTTACAGCACAACAACATCCAGACATTACCTTGGCCAGCCCGGTCACCAGATTTGTCCCCGATTGAGCATCTGTGGGACGAGTTGGATCGACGCGTTCGCAGAAGGAATCCACCGCCCCAAACACTTGCGACGCTTCAGCATGAATGGCAGCACATCCAACAGCGTGTTACTGACAACTTGATTGCATCTATGGGTCGTCGGTGTCAAGCGGTGATTGATGCACGTGGTGGGCACAACCGATACTGACATTTTCTGTACCCCTGAGACATTAACTGTATCGTGTACGTGTGTCTGTCTAGGTGACACGATTAATGTTTTGAACATTGTGTACATTGATCTCCAAACAGTGTTTCAATTATGGTTTCTGTGTCCTATTTTCAAACAATCGCATTATATTACATTTTGAAAGTCAGTGTCAAGTTTCTTTTTTTGAAGCGTATATACTGACATACGCGTTATTGTTTGTAGCTGACCTTCATCTTAGACTTTTCCTATGTACCGATAACTGAGATGACTACAATCACCAAGTGCTCTCTCCACAACATTTTGGCTCGATACCTCGTACGGTTCCTGGTATAAATGTATTTTTCTGAAAAGTACATTTTAAACAAAAAACTAGTGTTTTGGGCTGCAACACTTCATAAAATATCTGATTGTGAGTCAGGGTTTCGAAAAGGTTATTTCAACTACGATAACTGTTTTGTTTAAACTCTGTCATTCAGCGTTATCTTTCACAAAAAGGAGGTATTTTATGTAGCATTTATTGATTTCTCTAAAGCATTCGACTCCATTCATTATGGAAGCTATTGTAAAACATGGTTTGGGTGCTGATATGGGTCAAATATTGCAATCCATCGACAGTAATGTAAAGGCTTGTGTTCGTACACTTGATTGCTTCATGGGTGTGAGGCAAGGATGTATGTTTAGTCCCTTTTGTTAAGGTTGTTTATTAACGAACTGGTTACTGAAATGGAACAAAATTGTCGTTTTGGTGTTCTGTTACATCCGGAATTTATTCATATTTTTCTACTCCTATTTGCGGATGACCTTATTATATTTGTCAATACTGTCAACAACTTACAAAGGAAGTTGAATATCTTTCATGATTACTGTTGTAAATGGGGAATGTCAGTGAATCTATCGAAAACAAAAAAAGTTATTTTTGAAAAAGGGGGAAGTTTATCACGTCATGAAAAATGGTAATATGGTGGAAATGCGGTTGAAGTAGTTACTGGATACAGTTATCTTGGCTTTGTATTTTAGCAGCAGTTTACTGTGGTCGAATGTTTTAAATAATATTGCAATTCAGGCAAGAAATGGGTTCATGGTCCTGTTAAGCAGTGTACATACGTTGAAACTATACTCGCCTTTTTCTTCAAATTATTTGATGCAAAGATAACACCAATACTTTTACATGGGGCTTAAATGTGGAGGTTCAGTGACATAGAACCATTTGAAAAAAAGTTATCAACTTCAAATAATGGAGTGTTGGGCAAGTGTGGTAGATGTTCTATTCAGTCGCTTGCTGTTTTGAAATGTGTCCAATATTGGCTGTCTCTTTTCAATATGCAGGAATCCACAAAAATGTTATAATATGTTGGGGTTGTACGACAAACCAGGCCAAGTAAACTGGGTAACGAAACTTGAAACTGTTATTTTTAGATCAGGATTTTGTGATGTCTGGTACTTTTAAACATGTGGCAATAAAACCGTATTTTTAAATATGTTACGTCAGGGGATAAATGACAACTTATTTCAGTTTTTTTGCATAATGATCTATCCGAAAAACCCAAAATGGCTTATTATGCACACTCAACATCTATTTCTTGTGATTACTATTTGAGTAGTATAACTGTAAATAAATTCAGGACAACATTGACTCGTTTTCGACTCAGTTCTCACAATTTAGAAAATGAACGTGGACGACATTTCAATATTCCTGGTGAATTTGGAAAATGTAAAGTTTGTAACTTAAACCATATCGAAAATGAATGTCACTGTTTGTCAATTTGTCCAGCTTACAGCCATATTCGGCAAAGTTACATAAAATCTAAATTTACATATTTCCAAATATTTTGAAGTGTAATACACTACTGTCATCGCAAGTCCCCATTATCAATATATATATATATATATATATATATACACACAGCAAAGTACGCTAATGCTGTAAGAACACAAATACTCCAACTTTGATAATATGCAATTATGTTAAAACTGCTTTTTCCAAAAAAAGCGAAGGAATGTGTTGTATTTTATACTGTTTGCACCTAAATTTTATATCGTTTGTATTGAAAGGCGCGTACTGAATAAAGTTAAGACCAATTATTCGTAAAAGAATATATTTATCCTTCAACTTGGCGTGTTTTCACAGGAAAAACATATGCTAGAGCCATGGAACTCGTGAAAGTGCACTGCACCTTTCATATTCCAACAACCTCTCAACAACGACAACCTTGTCGTTATTTACAGATTTTCTTTATAGGTCATTACTGACGTTACATTTAGCCGATTTCGTTCCAATTTAGTATTTAAGTACAGTTATTTCAGGACTCAACCGGAAAGGTTCTCTTACTATCATAGCAATGTGACTGAGACATCTGATAGCTCGATTAAGTTGTTCGGTTTCGTCAAAAGATTTTTAGATATAGTTTTGCACACAAAGCACATTTTATTACAAGAGCAACGGAATGGAGTCCTCTGACTGGTCGAAATTTAGATAGTTAACCCTATTTGAGATATATAGATACAATTCCTTCTAAACTAATTGACCGATTTCAATTAAACTTTGTACACTTGGCTACTTCAACATGTTGTTGGGAACATTGCAATTGTTTGGTTTTTTTCATTTCGAAGTTCTTGCCATTTATTACTTCGTCGTTTCAATTTGTCTGGACAGCTAATACACTACTAGATCGATTTCTTTCAAATATGTACGTAGGTTTAGCAACGGACACTGTAGGACATGTCTTCATTTCCATCACCTTTGTGGTACCATGGAGGCCTCTGATTGGTCGAAATTTAGAAATTGTCTGATTTCGTTCAAATTTCGTATATTGACATGTTATCGGACTCCGAACTCAACCACACAAGTTTTTGTCCTTTAAGTACTCTACCCTATTTCGTATAATCTTAAAAACACAGAGTTTGCGATTATGTCGTGAAATATGATGGCAGAGGAACGTTTGGATGTTAACATTATCACACGTATGCGGGAAGTATTTAATTCCCCATAGGACAGTTCTGGTTAGCTTCATTTTTATTCATACATGCAAGATGCCCGAAAGGCTCATGTGACGTATTGCCATCCTTTGTAAGGCTGCGTCATTCCTCATGCGAAATCTATTCACCATCCAATACGAGTTTTTCATAAAATGTCTCGAAAGATAGCATCTACAGCTCACCTGGTGCGAAGTTCCGCGGTTCGCTTATGTCAGCTCCCCCAGAAGATCGAATGGTCGGTACCTAACTGACATGAAATACTCTACAGGTCGTATGCCTCATATCCCTTTTTCGCTGTTTTCAATCAACAATGGTCTACCTACAGGATATGCTAAACTGCCATAGTAAAGATATAGACTTCATATCCGAAAAATAGTGAGTGAGTATGGTTTAACGCCGCTTTAAGCAATATTCCAGCAATATCACGGCGGGAGACACCAGAAAACTTTTTACATTAAGAGTATTGTTTCACATTAAGAGTTGTAACAAGGGTGAACCCGCAACCCTAAATGGAACATCGGTTTCCAGCTACAGTGCCCTCAGCCACCAGACTTCCGTCTTCCACCGACATAGGAGCCAACCCCAAGTCACCTTTTGCAACCAGCAAAGTGGTGTTGGGGACACATTCCACCCAGAAATGTATTTGTTTAAGGACACAAGTAATTAGTCAATAACGCCTGTTTATTCGCGTGCCCACCCCACCCCCCCTCCCCCCACCCCCACCCCCCCACTACCCCACCCCACACAAACACACACACACACCTCCTCCCCCACACATTATGAGTGTTTAATGAGTCACTGTGTTGAGCTGTGAGTTTACGGAATCCAGAAAACACATGGCAAGACATGTGTTAAATGTATCTGATGTATTGCAAGTTAATTTACTTATGCCGTGGGTCACTATGCTATGTGAGTGGGTGTGAACTCATACTTACAGAGGGTCTCTCATATCGGGAAGCCTTCTATCCACAGATATCAAATTGCTTGCATATTCATTGAAGTCATTGTTCGAGAAACCAGCTTCGTAAATTCCTTTTTCTTCTCCATCCAGATTCTTTTCGTCGATGAAAACGGGTTCCCCCATCTGTCCTGCAAAATATTCCAGTTGGTTCTATTAGATTCCTTACATTGTACATATAACAAGGAACATCAAATACTCGTTACCTTTGCGGTAACATCAGCGAACTTGCAGCGATTTTTTATCTATTATATTAGTTAATGTCACTAAAGACAGGCCTTTCTTAGAAAAAAACATAACACTGTAGGGCACCGGTACACTCGTGCGGATTAATTAATCCTGCCACACACATGCTACAATACAGACAATCCCATAGCCTTCAGCGCTCACTTTCAATTCAAACAACTTCCAACCAATAAAACTGGGTGTATTTACTTCCACGTGAAAAATACCATCTTTCCTAACTTTGATTTAACTTCATACAAACAACACACACGATCCTAGACAACTCTATTCAACGCAGTCCAAAGCTATCATATGTATTCCACGTGTGTGACCATTCTTGGAAAGAGAGTTATCGACACCTAGGTTAAGACAAAGTACACACATTGGAAGTTTGTACTGAACGTTGAATGAACATGATTGGCAAGACTTTGTTCCGCTGTATGTATATATCATATATGTACACACTCACATGACATCTGTACTCATTTATGAATCGATTTTAAATGAAAATAGCTGAGAATTAAAAATGACTGAGAATTATTGATTAATGATCCACATCTGTCTCTGTTTTTATTGATATTAATTTATTTTGTGCAATGCCAACAGACGCTTTAAAATTCTGAAAAAGGTATGTCGATCTGCAATAATCTGCTGCTGGTAGCGGAACGATGTTTGTATAAGAACTGACTGACCTGGTCCCGCGTCATTAAACACTAATGGCGGATATTGCTGGTCTTTCGCTTCTGGTTGTGAAATAACTTCTTGATTCATATCTTTTTTAATGTTGCGTTTGTGCTCTGCAGCAGCTTTTCTGGGTTTTTCACCATCCTCAACGTCGTCGCTGTCGTCATCATCATCTTTTAATTTTGCTTCTGACTGGTTATGTTTCACAACCAATGCAGCATTTCGTTTGTGTCCATTATTGACCAACGACTGTTCCATAACAGTGTCTTGCTTCTTGACAGGTTGTTTGGCGTCACTACCACTGCTAATGACGAACCGAGAAAACGCATCCGATGGTTTTGCTTCAGAGTCAGTGGCTTTTTGATGAGATTGGAAATAATATCCAGTGAATACAAAAGTACAGACGATATATGTGACGAGCCCTAAACTAAATGCATGCCACCATCGTCGTGGAACCCACTTGCTCACGGTACTACACAGAGGCATGCGCGACATGATGTATTCACAATGGTTTAGATCCTCGGTCGGTCAGCGATATTCCAGTGACTTTCTCAAAAGTAGAAAAAATCCAACACCTGCGGCACTTAGGCCTTTCCTCCAACAGTAAGCTGACACGCTGGGCTATAACTAAAATGTTGTCAGATCGAATTTAACACATTCACAACGTTCTGTCCTTTTCATTCGTAGCCTGGAGATAAATAAAATATTTTGTACACAAGGTGGTACGGCGAAATAATTAGCAATACGTATATGAACTGTGGCGTGACTACTAACCCTGCAGAAATATGAACAACTGGAGTGGGCGTCTAGAACAGATTATATTGATAGTTTATCATGAGAACCTTTACAACGAAGTATTCATTTTGCGTTATACAGCACTAATAAATATGTTGATAATCAACTATACATGGTTAAAAAATTATCTCAAAATATGATCATAAAATATTAACTGATAATGAAACAGTATACAATTTACACAGGACTTCGCATTAAGATTGTCACCTACCCATGATGTTTGTCCTGATCTTGTATGAAAGTTCTGTCTGTGGACATATCTGCAATATAGTAAGCTTGAAACGTGTTACCTGTAAAATCGACATACACCAAAGGACAAGCTGTCACTCTATGAATAAATGTTGCTCGCCGTTAACTGAATCGATTAACAACATGTTGTTTCTGGATAGGCGCGTCTGTGTGGTGAGCAAATGACATTACCTCCAGACAACATTCTTATGAATTATACAAATCGACAAGGTCATAAATCAAATTGTTTGTGCGGGCTGGATGTGAATGGTGATCCGGAAAACATTTAAGGCCCGTTCATCACTGAAACACGACCTCAGTGAACTGACCCGCTTTACACTGGCCACAGAAAAAAACATGTATCACTGGCAAGAGGCCACAGTACTGACGACTGAGACACAGGATGACCTAACGAGGAAGGACTGTGATAGACAGTAGACCACACAGGATGGGGTAGTAGATGACACAAGTTGGGATAGTAGATCGCACAAGTTGGGTTAGTAGATCACACAAGTTGGGTAGTTGATCACACAAGTAGGGTTAGTAGATCACACAAGAAGGGGAAGTAGATGACACAAGTTGGGATAGTAGATCACACAAGTAGGGTTAGTAGATCACACAAGTTGGGTAGTTGATCACACAAATAGGGTTAGTAGATCACACAAGTTGGGTAGTTGATCACACAAGTAGGGTTAGTAGATCACACAAGAAGGGGAAGTAGATGACACAAGTAGGGTTAGTGGATCACACAAGTTGGGTAGTTGATCACACAAATAGGGTTAGTAGATCCCGCAAGTTGGGTAGTTGATCACACAAGTAGGGTTAGTAGATCACACAAGTAGGGTTAGTAGATCACACAAGTAGGGTTAGTAGATCCGCAAGTTGGGTAGTTGATCACACAAGTAGGGTTAGTAGATCACACAAGTTGGGTAGTTGATCACACAAATAGGGTTAGTAGATCCGCAAGTTGGGTAGTTGATCACACAAGTAGGGTTAGTAGATCACACAAGTAGGGTTAGTAGATCACACAAGTTGGGTAGTTGATCACACAAGTAGGGTTAGTAGATCACACAGGTTGGGTAGTTGATCACACAAGGCGGGGAAGTAAATCACACAAGATAGGGTTTGATCACACAAGTTAGGGAAGTTGATCACACAAGATGGGACAGTAGATCACACAAGGCGGGGAAGTAAATCACACAAGATGGGGTAGTTGATCAGACAACGTGGGGTAGTAGATCACACAAGTTAGGGTAGTTGATCACACAAGGTGGGACAGTAGATCACACAAGGCGGGGAAGTAAATCACACAAGGTGGGGGTAGTCATCACACAGGAAGGGGTAGTAGACCACACAAGATGGGGTTGTTGATCAAACAAATTGGGGTAGTAGATCACACAAAATGGGGTTGTTGATCACACAAGGTGGGAAAGTAGATCACACAGGATGGGGTAGTCATCACACAAAAGGTGGGGGTAGTCATCACACAGGAAGGGGTAGTAGACCACACAAGATGGGGTAGTAGATCACACAAGGTGGGGTAGTAGATCACACAGGATAGGGTAGTAGATCACACAAGGTGTGGTAGTAGATCACACAGGGTGGGGTAGTAGACCACACAAGACGGGGTAGTTGATCACACGAGGTGGGACAGTAGATCACACAAGGTGGGGTAGTTGATCACACAGGATGGGGTAGTAGATCACACAGGATGGGGTAGTAGATCACACCAAAGGTGGGGGTAGTCATCAGACAGGGTGGAGTAGTAGACCACACAAGATGGGGTAGTAGATCACACAAGGTGTGGTAGTAGATCACACACGATTGGGTAGTTGATCACACAAGATGGGGTAGTAGATCACACAAGGTGTGGTAGTAGATCACACAAAATGGGGTTGTTGATCACACAAGGTGGGAAAGTAGATCACACAGGATGGGGTAGTAGATCACACAAAAGGTGGGGGTAGTCATCACAAAGGGTAGGGTAGTAGATGACACAGGTTGGGAAAGTGAATCACACAAGATGGGGTTGTTGATCAAACAAGATGGGGTAGTAGATCACACAAAATGGGGTTGTTGATCACACAAGGTGGGAAAGTAGATCACACAGGATGGGGTAGTAGATCACACAAAAGGTGGGGGTAGTCATCACACAGGAAGGGGTAGTAGACCACACAAGATGGGGTAGTAGATCACACAAGGTGGGGTAGTAGATCACACAGGATGGGGTAGTAGATCACACAAGGTGTGGTAGTAGATCACACAGGGTGGGGTAGTTGACCACACAAGATGGGGTAGTTGATCACACGAGGTGGGACAGTAGATCACACAAGGTGGGGTAGTTGATCACACAAGCCGGGGTTGTACATCACACAAGCCGGGTTAGTAGATCACACAAGATGGGGTAGTAGATCACACAAGATGGGGTAGTAGATCACACAAGATGGGGTAGTCATCACACAAGGTTGGGTAGTAAATCACACAAGCCGGGTTAGTAGATCACACAAGGTGAGGGTAGTAAATCACACAAGCTGGGGTAGTAGATCACACAAGGTTGGGTAATCATCACACAAGGTTGGGTAGTAAATCACACAAGCCGGGTTAGTAGATCACACAAGATGGGGTAGTAAATCAAACAATGTGTGGTAGTAGATCACACAGGGTGGGGTAGTAGACCACACAAGATGGGGTAGTTGATCACACGAGGTGGGACAGTAGATCACACAAGGTGGGGTAGTTGATCACACAAGCCGGGGTTGTAGATCACACAAGCCGGGTTAGTAGATCACACAAGATGGGGTAGTAGATCACACAAGATGGGGTAGTAGATCACACAAGATGGGGTAGTCATCACACAAGGTTGGGTAGTAAATCACACAAGCCGGGTTAGTAGATCACACAAGGTGAGGGTAGTAAATCACACAAGCTGGGGTAGTAGATCACACAAGGTTGGGTAATCATCACACAAGGTTGGGTAGTAAATCACACAAGCCGGGTTAGTAGATCACACAAGATGGGGTAGTAAATCAAACAATGTGTGGTAGAACATCACACAAGGTGGGGTAGTAGATCACACAATGTGAGGTAGTAGATCACACAGGATGGGGTAGTAGATCACACAAGATGGGGTAGTAGATCACACAAGATGGGGAAGTAAATCACAAAAGATGGGGTTGTTGATCACATAAGTTGGGGTAGTTGATCACACAAGTTGGAGAAGTAAATCACACAAGATGAGGTAGTAGATGACACAATGTGTGGTAGTAGATCACAAAAGATGTGGTTGTAGATCACACACGATGGGGTAGTAGATCACACAAGGTGGGGTAGTAGATCACACAAGGCGGGGTAGTACATCACACTAGCCGAGGTAGACCATCACACGAGGTGGGGAAATAGTCACCCAAGATGGGGTAATAGATCACACAAGGTGGGGGTAGTACATCACACAAGGTACGGTAGTACATCACACAAGGTGGGGTAGTAGATCACACAAGATGGGGTAGTAGATCACCAAAGATGGGGTTGTAGATCTAACAAGGTGGGGGTAGTACATCACACAAGGTAGGGTAGTACATCACGCAAGATGGGGTGGTTGATCACACAAGTCTCGGACGTTTACCACTTGGGTGAAACACGCGAGGATGGTGAATGGTATGGTGCTGACAAAATTTGAAACATAATCAGAGGTTTCTAACGTGCCCAAGGGACGAAACACTACGTATACGCAGCGAGAAGTGCACCCGGGAAGTAGTAGATTACACTTGGTTGGGTAGAAGTAGATTACACGTAGTAGGGTAGCACTAGATTACACGCAGTTGGGTTGTAGCAGATCACACGTTGTTGGGTAGAAGTAGAATACACGTGGTTGGGTAGAAGTAGATTATACGTAGTTGGGTAGCAGTAGATTACACGTTGTTGGGTACCAGTAGATTACACGTTGTTGGGTAGAAGTAGATTCCACGTTGTTGGTACAAGTAGATTACACGTAATTGGGTAGAAGTAGATTATACATAGTTTGGTAGAAGTAGATTACACGTAGTTGGGTAGCAGTAGATTAACGTTTTTGGGTTGAAGAAGATTGCACGTGGTTTGGAAGAAGTAGATTACACGTGGTTGGGTAGTAGTAGATTACACGTATTTGGGTAGTAGTAGATTACACGTATTTGGGTAGTAGTTGATCACACGTGGTTGGGTAGTAGTAGATTACACGTGGTTGGGTAGAAGTAGATTACACGTATTTGGGTAGAAAAAGATTGCACGTGGTTGGGTAGAAGTAGATTACACGTGTTTGGGTAGAAGTAGATTACACATATTTGGGTAGAAGAAGATTGCACGTGGTTGGGTAGTAGTTGATCACACGTGGTTGGGTAGTAGTAGATTACATGTGGTTGGGTAGAAGTAGATTACACGTATTTGGGTAGAAAAAGATTGCACGTGGTTGGGTAGAAGTAGATTACACGTGTTTGGGTAGAAGTAGATAACTCCTATTTGGGTAGAAGAAGATTGCACGTGGTTGGGTAGTAGTTGATCACACGTGGTTGGGTAGTAGTAGATTACACGTGGTTGGGTAGAAGTAGATTACTCGTGGTTGGGTAGTAGTTGATCACACGTGGTTGGGTAGTAGTAGATTACAAGTGGTTGGGTAGAAGTAGATCACACGTCTTTGGGTAGAAAAAGATTGCATGTGGTTGGGTAGAAGTAGATTACACGTGGTTGGATAGTATTAGATTATACGTAGTTGGGTAGAAGTAGATTACACGTGGTTGGGTAGAAGTAGATAACACATAGTTGATAAGTAGAAGATTACACGTGGTTGGGTGGTAGTAGATCACACGTAGTTGGGTAGATGTAGATTACACGTAATAGGGCAGTAGTAGTTGGTTGGGTAGTAGTAGATTACACGTGGTTGGGTAATAGTAGATTTAACTTGGTCGGGTAGTATTAGGTCACATGCAGTTTGGTAGGAGTAGATTGCACGTGGTTGACTAGAAGTAGATTACACGTGGTTAGGTAGATGTAGATTAACACGTAGTTGGGTAGTAGCAGTTGGTTGGGTAGTAGTGGTTGGGTAGTAGTAGCTCACACGTAGTTGGGAAGTAGTAGATTACACGTAGTTGGGTAGTAGTAGATCACACGTAGTTGGGTTGTAGTAGATCACACGTAGTTGGGTAGTAGTAGTTGGTTGGGTAGTAGTGGTTGGGTAGTAGTAGATCAGACGTAGTTGGGTAGTAGTAGATCACACGTAGTTGGGCAGTAGTAGTTGGTTGGGTAGTAGTGGTTGGGTAGTAGTAGATCATACGTAGTTGGGTAGTAGTAGATTACACGTAATAGGGCAGTAGTAGTTGGTTGGGTAGTAGTAGATCACACGTAGTTTGGTAGTAGTAGATTACACGTGGTTGGGTAGTAGTATATCGCATGTAGTTTGGTAGTAGTAGATAACACGTGGTTGGGTATTAGTAGATTACACGTCGTTGAGTATTAGTAGATTACACATAGTTGGGTAGTAGTAGATAACATGTGGTAATGTAGTAGTAGAGTACACACGTGGTTTGATAGTAGTATTAGAAGTAGTAGTAGTTCACACGTAGTTTGGTAGTAGTAGATTACACGTGGTTGGGTAGTAGTAGATTTAACTTGATCGGGTAGTATAAGGGTAACATGTAGTTCGGTAGAAGTAGATTGCACGTGGTAGGATAGTAGTAGATCGCATGTAGTTTGATAGTAGTAGATAACACGTGGTTGGGTAGTAGTAGATTAAACGTGGTTTGGTATTAGTAGATTACACGTCGTTGAGTATTAGTAGATTACACATAGTTGGGTAGTAGTAGATTACACGTGGTTTGGTATTAGTAGATTACACGTCGTTGAGTATTAGTAGATTACACATAGTTAGGTAGTAGTAGATTACATGTGGTTATGTAGTAGTAGAGTACACACGTGGTTTGATAGTAGTATCAGAAGTAGTTGTAGATTACACGTAGTTGGGTAGTAGTAGGTTACACATGGTTGGGTAGTAGTAGATTTAACTTGATCGGGTAGTATAAGGGTAACATGTAGTTCGGTAGAAGTAGATTGCACGTGGTTGGATAGTAGTAGATCGCATGTAGTTTGGTAGTAGTAGATAACACGTGGTTGGGTAGTAGTAGATTACACGTGGTTTGGTATTAGTAGATTATTCGTCGTTGAGTATAAGTAGATTACGCATAGTTGGGTAGTAGTAGATTACACGTGGTTTGGTATTAGTAGATTACACGTCGTTGAGTATTAGTAGATTACACATAGTTGGGTAGTAGTAGATTACATGTGGTTATGAAGTAGTAGAGTACACACGTGGTTTGATAGTAGTATTAGAAGTAGTAGTAGGTTACACGTGGTTTGATAGTAGTATTAGAAGAAGTAGTAGGTTACACGTGATTTGATAGTAGTATTAGAAGAAGTAGCAGGTTACACGTGGTTTGATAGTAGTATTAGAAGAAGTAGTAGGTTACACGTGGTTTGATAGTAGTATTAGAAGAAGTAGTAGGTTACACGTGGTTTGATAGTAGTATGAGAAAGAAGTAGTAGGTTACACGTGGTTTGATAGTAGTATCAGAAGAAGTAGTAGGTTACACGTGGTTTGATAGTAGTATTAGAAGAAGTAGTAGTTTACACGTGGTTTGATAGTAGTATTAGAAGAAGTAGTAGGTTACACCTGGTTTGATAGTAGTATTAGAAGAAGTAGTAGATTACGCGTGGTTTGGTATTAGTAGTGAGTGAGTGAGTGAGTTTGGTTTTTCGCCGCTTTTAGCAATATTCCAGCAATATCACGGCGGGGGACACCAGAAATGGGCTGGTATTAGTAGATTACACGTAGTTGGGTAGTAGTAGATAACACGTAGTTGGGTAGTAGTAGATTACACGTAGTTGGGTAGTAGTAGGTTACACGTGGTTTGATAGTAGTATGAGAAAGTAGTAGTAGGTTACACGTGGTTTGATAGTAGTATTCGAAGAAGTAGTAGGTTACACGTGGTTTGATAGTAGTATTAGAAGCAGTTGTAGATTACACGTGGTTTGATAGTAGTATTAGAAGCAGTTGTAGATTACGCTTGGTTTGATAGTAGTATTAGAAGAAGTGGTAGGTTACACGTGGTTTGATAGGAGTATTAGAAATAGTTGTAGATTACGCGTGGTTTGATAGGAGCATTAGAAGAAGTTTTAGATTACACGTGGTTTGATAGTAGTATTAGAAGTAGTAGTAGTAGATTACACGTGGTTTGATAGTAGTATTAGAAGTAGTAGTAGATTACACGTGGTTTGATAGTAGTATGAAAAGAAGTAGTACGTTGCGCGTGGTCTGATAGTAGTATTAGAAGAAGTTGTAGATTACGCGTGGTTGGGTAGTAGTAGGTTACTAATAGTTGGGTAGTAGTAGATTACACGTGGTTGGGTAGTGGTCGGTTACACGTAGTTCGGTAGTGGTAGAATATACGTGGTTGGGTAGTAGTATGTTACACGTGGTTTGATAGTAGTATTAGATGAAGTAGTAGGTTACACGTGGTTTGATAGTAGTATTAGAAGTTGTTGTAGATTACGCGTGGTTTGGTAGTAGTAGGTTGTTACTATAGTTGGGTAGTTGAACCATTACTCGTGGTTGGGTAGTGGTCGGTTACACGTAGTTCGGTAGTAGTAGATTACACGTAGTTCGGTAGTAGCAGATTACACGTGGTTGGATAGTAGATTACATGTGGTGGGTAGTAGAAGTAGTGGTATTATTAGTATTGACGAGGTTTGGAAGTAATTAATGGCATGAGGTCGGGTAATAGTAGATTACACGAGGTGGCCCAGTTGTCGATCACACGAAGTTGGGGATTTGTGACAGTTAAGTCTAGAGTTCACATCCATACAGCGTTTTGGGTACACAATTTTAACGAGCTTGGCATTTTAGGCTGATAACACTCGTATCTAAGCGTCCTACATGCAGTTGTGATTCTCCCCATCCTGTCCATAATGTGACAACAGGCATCTGCAGTTTATTTACTGGTTTATTCATGGAGGACACGTCAAGACTTAAAGAAGAAACGTGACTGTATGAGAAATAGATCCTGGAGGCAAGGTTGATCTTTGGCTATATATTGCAAGATCACCCGCTTGTGTTGAGCATCCAGCGTTTAAGTTTATCACCACTGAAGCTTTACTTGATGCATTTGTGTTATTGAGGAGTTCATCTACGTATGCAGGTATAGTTTTGCTGATGGCACAACATCTGGCCCACAACCCATCAAGTAGTAGGATGCCGTGGGGGAAAGTTTGACAACTCTTCGTGTCGAGCATAACCTGTCTAATGGTAGCCATATTCTACAAGACACATCAATATGACATGCGACACAAAGTCAAGGGCTTTTGGTTAGAGTCAGGGTTAGCGTTAGGGTTGGGGTTAGGGTTAGAAATGCAACATGAAGAGAATCATTTCTTCTCCGTCGTGGTGAATGGTCTCTTGGGGTTATTTAAAGCATGTGTTGAGAACTTTAAGAATAAAACTGGGCTGTCGTATTCCAACCCATTATATAGCTGGCACATGTGAACAAACAAAAGAAAAACAGTTTTTAAACATTAGGCGATACAACAGAACATTCCACTGACCAGGGATGAACGTGCAGTTCATGTTTGTCAGTGACAAGTCCACAAGTAAAACTGCACGTAGTATGCGTTATCAAGGATTCGCTGGTGAGAACAGACTAGTAATCCTACAATCGATCCACAAAACCAAAAAGAGAATAAAAATCAGCGAGTTGTTTTCATATAGTTTTATTCAATGTCAGCTGTTAAATGATACCCACAGCCACTGTTGTGCCCGACTGTTGTTGCAAACTAGTAGTGATACCTGTTTAGTTTGGGGATCTACAGCTATGCATCCATCTACTCCTTTGTGGTATAATGTTCTATCCTACAAAAAAAGACAGAATGTAAGTATTCAGGAGATGATCGTCGTGTTTCAAGCATTTTCCGATTGGTGTTCTTGAGTACATTACAAAATTGAGACACCCTGAGGTCTTCGACTGTTCTAGATCGTAATCAACTTGGCGGGTTACAGCATAGTGACCTCGGACTTAAACCTGAAACGCCGTGGTGAAATACGGTTAGAATCGGCGTTAAATCCAAACTCCAAACTCACTTGTAAAAACATTACTAGTTTTATGAAAAAATATTATCGTTGAAATATATGGATGTTGTCAACGCCAACAAATGTCTTGCTAAACATACTTCCAGTATTGGTTGCCACAGTATTACTAACGTGTATCATGTGTACTTCCAGTACCTTCTTGCCACAGTATTACTAACGTGTATCATGTGTACTTCCAGTACTAATTGCCACAGTATTACTAACGTGTATCATGTGTACTTCCGGTACTGATTGCCACAGCATTACTAACGTCAATCATGTGTACTTCCAGTACTGACTGCCACAGTATTACTAACGTTTATTATGTGTACTTCCAGTACTGACTGCAACAGTATTACTAACGTTTATTATGTGTACTTCTAGTACTGGTTGCCACAGTATTACTAACGTGTATTATGTGTACTTCCAGTAATGGTTGCCGCAGTATTACTAACGTGTATTATGTGTACTTCCAGTAATGGTTGCCACAGTATTACTAACGTGTGTCATGTGTACTTCAAGTACTGATGCCACAGTATTACTAACGTGTGTCATGTGTACTTCAAGTACTGGTTGCCACAGTATTACTAACGTTTATTATGTGTACTTCCAGTAATGGTTGCCACAGTATTACTAACGTCAATCATGTGTACTTCCAGTACTGACTGCAACAGTATTACTAACGTTTATTATGTGTACTTCCAGTACTGACTGCAACAGTATTACTAACGTTTATTATGTGTACTTCCAGTACATGTTGCCACAGTATTACTAACGTGTATTATGTGTACTTCCAGTACTGGTTGCCACAGTATTACTAACGTGTATTATGTGTACTTCCAGTAATGGTTGCCACAGTATTACTAACGTCTATCATGTGTACTTCCAGTACTGATTGCCACAGTATTACTCACGTTTATTATGTGTACTTCCAGTACTGGTTGCCACAGTATTACTTAGGTGTATTATGTGTACTTCCAGTACTGATTGCCACAGTATTACTAACGTGTATCATGTGGACTTCCAGTACTGGTTGCCACAGTGTTACTAACGTGTATTATGTGCACTTCCAGTACTGGTTGCCACAGTATTACTGACGTCTATCATGTGTACTTCCAGTACTGACTGCCACAGCATTACTAACGTCAATCATGTGTACTTCCAGTACTGATTGCCACAGTATTACTAACGTCAATCATGTGTACTTCCAGTACTGACTGCCACAGCATTACTAACGTCAATCGTGTGTACTTCCAGTACTGATTGCCACAGTATTACTAACGTTTATTATGTGTACTTCCAGTACTGGTTGCCACAGTATTACTAACGTGTATTATGTGTACTTCCAGTAATGGTTGCCGCAGTATTACTAACGTGTATTATGTGTACTTCCAGTAATGGTTGCCGCAGTATTACTAACGTGTGTCATGTGTACTTCAAGTACTGATGCCACAGTATTACTAACGTGTATTATGTGTACTTCCAGTACTGGTTGCCACAGTATTACTAACGTTTATTATGTGTACTTCCAGTACTGATTGCCACAGTATTACTAACGTCAATCATGTGTACTTCCAGTACTGATTGCCACAGTATTTCTTACGTGTATCATGTGTACTTCCAGTACTGATTGCAACAGTATTACTAACGTGTTTTATGTGTACTTCCAGTACTGACTTCCACAGTATTACTAACGTGTATCATGTGTACTTCCAGTACTGATTGCCACAGTATTACTAACGTCATTCATGTGTACTTCCAGTACTGACTTCCACAGTGTTACTAACGTGTATTATGTGCACTTCCAGTACTGGTTGCCACAGTATTACTAACGTCAACCATGTGTACTTCCACTACTGATTGCCACAGTATTACTGACGTCAATCATGTGTACTTCCAGTACTGACTGCAACAGTATTACTAACGTTTATCATGTGTACTTCCAGTAATGGTTGCCACAGTATTACTAACGTGTATTATGTGTACTTCCAGTACTGGTTGCCACAGTATTACTAACGTGTATTATGTGTACTTCCAGTACTGGTTGCCACAGTATTACTAACGTCTATCATGTGTACTTCCAGTACTGATTGCCACAGTATTACTCACGTTTATTATGTGTACTTCCAGTACTGATTGCCACAGTATTACTAACGTGTGTCATGTGTACTTCCAGTACTAATTGCCACAGTGTTACTAACGTGTGTCATGTGTACTTCCAGTACTAATTGCCACAGTATTACTAACGTTTATTATGTGTACTTCCAGTACTGGTTGCCACAGTATTACTAACGTGTATCATGTGGACTTCAAGTACTGGTTGCCACAGTATTACTAACGTGTATTATGTGTACTTCCAGTACTGGTTGCCACAGTATTACTGACGTCTATCATGTGTACTTCCAGTACTGACTGCCACAGTATTACTAACGTGTATCATGTGTACTTCCAGTACTGATTGCCACAGTATTACTAACGTCTATCATGTGTACTTCCAGTACTGACTGCCACAGTGTTACTAACGTCTATCATGTGTACTTCCAGTACTGACTGCCACAGTGTTACTAACGTCAATCGTGTGTACTTCCGGTACTGACTGCCACAGTGTTACTAACGTCAATCATGTGTACTTCCGGTACTGACTGCCACAGTGTTACTAACGTCAATCATGTGTACTTCCGGTACTGACTGCCACAGTGTTACTAACGTCAATCATGTGTACTTCCAGTACTGACTGCCACAGTGTTACTAACGTCTATCATGTGTACTTCCGGTACTGATTGCCACAGTGTTACTAACGTCTATCATGTGTACTTCCAGTACTGGTTGCCATAGTATTACTAACGTGTGTCATGTGTACTTCCAGTACTGGTTGCCACAGCATTACTAACGTCAATCATGTATACTTCCAGTACTGACTCCCACAGTATAACTAACGTGTGTAGAGTACATACCATCCTATACTGCCAGTACTGGTTGCCCCGTTGTCCGTGACATCCAGTCATCTTGATTGTGGCGTAGGTCGGGTCCAGCCCAACATCTAGACAGTTGTAGCCAGACCGTAACTCGCCAAGTTTAGTTAGATACCACGCCTGAAACAATCATGTCGTCATTGGGTTACAGGTTCTCTTGACACATTAAATAATCAGAAGTAAAATGGATTTATTCGATAAATGTCATCGGTAGTAGAACGTTTCTGTAGATATTAAGTGACACTAGTGTGATAATGAACATCCTGATAGTAATCAACTTTAAACCGTGCCCGCCCGCCGGCCCGCCCGCCCCGCTTCAAGTGCGTCCAGGCAACGGCCACCTCCACAGTGACTGGTCAAGAACAATGTTAAGAAGGGACTTTTTTCGCATTGTGGAAATATAACGAATCCAATGTGTCGATATGGTAACAAACAATTTATCACATATGCATCAGATACTATAGCCATTTAAAAAAACTACAAAATGTCGCAGAAGCAGTGATACCAAATGTCCTGTCTCGTCACAGCTCTATGGTAAACTTATGGGAACACTATATCTCATCTTGGGCATAATGGTTTTTCCCTCACTTCGGGCAAACTTACTTTATCTCACCTAGGACGTCAGTACTACCTTATATCTCACATCTTGCATACACACTGTATCTCTCACCAAGGACGTCAGTAGTACCTTATATCTCACATCTGGCATACACACTGTATCTCTCACCAAGGACGTCAGTAGTACCTTATATCTCACATCTGGCATACACACTGTATCTCTCACCAAGGACGTCAGTAGTACCTTATATCTCACATCTGGCATACACACTGTATCTCTCACCTAGGACGTCAGTAGTACCTTATATCTCACATCTGGCATACACACTATCTCTCACCTAGGACGTCAGTACTACCTTATAAACTTTAAACTTCAGAGATTGTTGTGTGATTCTTGTAATTGTTATTTGTGGTATTAGCGGGAACCCCTGCCGTTCATACCACACGTAACAGCTGTATCTCTTACCTAGGAGACCGCCTCCTTGGACAGTGGTAGAGCGTCCGCCAGGAGAGCGGAAGGTCCGGGATTCGATTCCCGGCCGCGTCATACCAAAAGACGTTAAAAGATGGTACTTGTTGTTACCCTGTCTGGCGCTCGGCATTAAGGGGCTAAAACAAGGACTGGTCGGCTCGGAGTCAGTATAAAGTGTCTGAGTGGGATATTCATGTTGAACTGCGGTATGGTATCTCGGTGAGCTAGCACTATAAATCGGCATCAGTCCGGACTAGTACAAGCAGCCACTCAAACACACACACGTACATGCACGTCGCTATATAAGTGCAATAATCTTGGACGCGACGTTAAACCCCATTTCACCTCACCTCACCTTACCTAGGACGTCAGTACTACCTTATATCTCACTTCTGACATACACACCGTATCTCTCACCAAGGACGTCAGTACTACCTTATATACCTCCTTAGACGTCATTTCCATTTTATCTCTCAATGGGGCATACACACTTTATCTGTTACCTGGGACGCCAGTACCATGTTATCGTCCTACTTCATCTCACTGGCGCATACACCTTATCTCTCACTACGCATACACATTTTATCTCTCATTGAATTAAGAATATCTCTCCAAGAACAAACATAGTAACATCATATGTATGAATATGTTACCTTTCTTGCAAAATGCATGTTTATCTCACCTAGAACAAAATGCATATTTCACCTTGGATAAAGACGGTTTAGCTCGAAATATATACGTATTACTCACCTGACACATGCCTTTTTTACGACACTGTGTTAGTTGAACTGCTTTCTTGTGGGCCCTCTTTTCCATTGCATCTAAACAAAATGCCTCCACGCCAGCAGATTGGATCTGTAATCAACACAGGGAGTTACCTGCGTATGTTGAGATATGTTTTCATGAATCAGAGTTAGAGGCTTTAGTGTCGCTGTTACAGCGGTCAGTTTTCGAATGTATGCGGGGGTGGTGGGGGCGGGGGTGAGTTTGGGGTGGTATAGAGAGAGGCTTACCTGAACCAAACTGCAGTATCAGAGAATGTAAAGCCTAATAGCCTTTACGATTTTTCACATAGTCTCTTACCGATCGATATTAAATGAAACGTTTTGTGTTGCTAATTTCAACATCGACCGTTAACTCCTGGTTCTGTGCAGCCCCGCATGAGAGCAAGGCATCCTGTGAAGGGTATAGCCCCAACAGCTTACCAAAGGCGGCAAAGTTTGGGTTGGGCTGGCCAGCACCAGGGGCGGGCTGGGCGCCAATGGCGTCACACCATGTTTACAGAGGAATCAGGATTTTGCCCATTAGTCACAGATGGCAGAAAACGTTGTTTTCCACGTGGCGGCGAGCTGTATGTCAGGCCAACAATAATATTCTTGACCATGATCGGTATGGGGGCGTTAGTTTCATGGTGCGGGGCGGTATCACACATGCTGGCGAACTGATTTGGTTATTGTGAAATGACATTTGATTGGCTAGCGGTGTGTTGACGAAATTGTGCCTCCTGTCCTTGTTCCATTCGCTAGACTCATTAGCAGAACTTGCAAGATGACTATGCCAGACCACATCGTGTCCAGGTCGTCAACGTTTATTTCCGACGAGAAGGCATGAGGACATTGGACTGGCCCGCTCTGTCCCTTGACATGTCCCCAATAGAGCATCTGTGGGATGTCCTCGGGCGGAGAGCGTACGCCAGAGACCCGGCACCCTCCAACGTGGTATAGTTTGGGGTAGCTCTTTAGTCGTAATGGCGGGCAATACCAAGGGCATACGCAAGTTAATCAACAGGTGCCGTGCATGTATCGCCCAATGACGATGTGTGTTCATGTATGTTTCTGTACATACTACAGAGAGTGCATATGGTAACGCTTACCTTCAGGCTGATTGGACCTGGTAGCATGATTTAAAATATATTTGTTTATAGATATTTAATATATATAAGATCTGAAAGACTTATCAATGCGGTTAATGTTTTAGTATGATGGGTATACAAGTACTGGTGAGAGAAATGGCACTTTTGCATGTTACTAGAATATCTTGGGTTTAAAGGGTAATCTGATAATTCGGTTTGGGCGAATTGGTGGATTTGTAGGTATCTAGTCTAGCTAACCCTGGCGGTCACCAGTGAAAGCATTATTTCCCCCTCAATGTGACCAACCGATCCCCGACATACACGGAAGCTGTTCTGCTCCACTGGTTGGGAAGGGCAATGATGACCTTGACTTACAGTTCCTCTCTGTAACGCCTCAGAAGGAAGAAACACTTCGGGGTATATGTTTTTAATGTACCAATCAAAGCTCTGACATTTTAGGTCTCGCCTCAAGTCCTGACGTTGTGAAATATCGCCTACGTCCGCCTGAAACATTGTAATAACATCAGTATCAGATTGTTTGCTAAGTATATCATATAAATACACACAGTGTCGTAGCGAATTGATTCAGCAATAACACAATGCCTTCTACACGTCCCCTGTTATGATGATAACCACCAGGTCACAGTGGCGGCCCGATCTTCATTGTAGTGAGCTCATACAACAAGCATACCGGGACCAGTACTGAGGTGAAATGGTGTTTAACGTCGCGTCCAAGACTATTGCACTTATATTGCGTGGGCGCTTGTACTGGTTCGGACTGATGTCCATTTTGCAGTGTTGGCCGACTGAAATACCATTGCCGCAGTTTAACATGAATACCCTACTCGGACACAGTATACTGACTCCGAGCCGAGCTGACCTTGTTTTAGCCACTTAATACCGAACGCCAGGGACGGTAACAACAAATATCTTTTAACGTCTTTAGGTTTGACGCGGCCGGAGATCGAACCCCGGACCTTCCGCATCCCGGGCGGACGCTCTACCACTAGACCATGGAGGCGGTCGACCCATCTCTACTCACAGATGGGGATATAACATCATGCCAGTTCATCAACGTGATATTTTAGATTAGTAAAACTGAATGCAGAATTAATACAGCTGAGATATGCAGTGAAATCGTTTTCCTGCAGTGGGCAACCATTTGTTGATAAAGTAAGTCTTTGTGAAAGCGTAACACAAAGCGCAATCAACTAGACTCTCACAGATAGACCCCCATCCAGGGACCACAACCTGAAGACATTGTGACCAACCGATCTCCGTTATAATCGCCTCACAACATACAAGATACCTCACTAGGAATAGTATGCTTATAACTTTAACTTAACTATATATTCTTATGTGTGGATATATGTTTTCAAAATTATACAGAGATGATTCAGGTTGGGGCCTCATGTGTAATGTCTAAGCTCTTCTTCATACAAGTAAAATATATCTCTGTGTTAGTTTTCTAGTTTCGTTACAGGAAAAGTATATGTGTTCTAGGGTTTCACATTCTATCATGCAAATAGAGCATAAGTCATCTTCACTATATACAATTTAAGTACAATGAATTTGATAGTTACACGGTGCTTTTCTGAAACATTTTAAAGCAATTTGACAAATAGTTTTCCGGTATTGTTTAATTGATTCCCACTTTACAAGAACAATATCAAGTGATAATGCTTGTATTGACAGTCAAATTTTGTTTAATATTAATAACCGTCCTTTTACTGAATTTGACAGGTTTATCTAACAGTTTTTTAAATCCTATTTAGTTAATAATAAAGACAGTTTGTCTCCTTCGGCTTTTCAAATGTTTCCACTAAAATGTATTTACTAAAGAATGTCCTTATGTCTAACACCACTTCTGAATCACACGATAAATAAAAGCGACAAAACCCCATATTTATGAGAAAGCGCTGCTCAAGCTGGGTCGATTTTACGATTCTGACTACAAGTAAGCATGTGTTCGCCAAATGGTGAGAGTATATCGTCCCAAACACATGCAAAGGCATGTCAATTGTTCACCTGAAAAAAACACGTGAAAAGAAGGTACAATTCAAAACAGGAAATTGCATCGGACATCATTTTTGTCACTGATGCGTCAAATTTGGACATGTCCTCTGCCTGTCTGCTATAAAACCGTTTGAAAGCTTTCCTGGGGCCTTAGATGTTGTAACCTTGATCAAACAACTTCTGAGTCGTGTGAGGTTCTTCGAAATCTTGGTTGAATGGACAAGCTTGATTGTATCTCAAAAGTATGTAACCATTAAAGGATTGACCTGCTAGAATATTGCTCGATGTAAAGGGAAATGTGAAGTCATCCCTCTTGTCATACAGTCTTGTGGGGAATCTTTTGTCACTCTGAATCTTTCTGCATAAATCTAAATATGAAACAGATGAGGCAGTCTAACTGGTTTCTTTATATCTAGTTCAGGTGGGCAAATCAGTGGAAGGGAATTAGCTATTTGATGGTTAAAACGATATCAGATCAGCGATATATACCTGAGGTTTAAGTTAAACTTCTTGGCCATATTACCGTGTTTTGATTTTGCCAATCCGAGCAGAAATTTCGTTTAATATGCATAGAGAAAAAGATCGGCAACAAGGGGAGCACAGTTGGTGCCCATACAAAAGGGTTTTGAGTTGTATGAAATTCAAAACAAGAAGGGACATCCATCTTTTCAAACACTTTGGAATTCTGGTAAATCCATCATTTTGTAGATATGTTATGGACAACTCTATTAACCAAGGCATTCACAATGACAGCTAGACACGTTTGGATCTTCGTCAGTGTGATGCTACACTGGCCCTTACTAGCTTAGTCCCGATATGTTCGTAATAGATGTCTTTATACTCGTCCAGCCAGATCTCTGCTACTCTCTGCGAGTTACGTTGTATGGTGTTGGCCGCGAAGTGCATTGGCGACGTCCGTCGGAAGATGTGGCCGACCAGAGAACACGGAATGATCTCCATGGACCCACCACACATCCAGATCTGAGGGGAGACATGGTCAACACTTTGATTATCCACTGAATTATAACAACAACCGAGCTATGTCCCCGCGAGGACACAAGAGTGGGTGTTTCCAAGGTAGAGACAGTTTACCTGTATAGTGACTGCGCTAATTTGAATTTGGTACCGAACGTGAATCATAACATTGCAGTTAGCAAAGATATTGAGTAGAGCGACATTAGTTGAATTCAGTTTCGATCTAACTTATGGAAACCTCGATACAAGTATATTAACAAAGTATGGCGCTGTATACGCTCCAGCATTGTTATTGTACATCCGACTTTACTCGCACATATTACAGACATTGCTACTTCGTAAGCTGACAAAGTGTTGGCGCCTGTAGCCAAAATGAAGTGAGCCTTGCAATTGATGATGAAGAGTGAGTGAAAGAGTATGGTTTTACGCCGCTTTCAGACATATTTCAGCACTATCACGACGGGGGACACCACAGATCGGCTTCACGCATTGATGGTGCAGATACCCAAATGTATGGCATGATGTATAATACATTAGGATTACAGGCTCTTAGTTAATATGTTCTTTTTGCCAAAAAGAAAGTATTTTCCAAATGATGCAATTTCTTTTACATGTCTAAAATATCACCTTTTCAAACTTTTCGGGGCAAAAGTTCTCAAATGTTGATAAAATTAGTCATTTACTGATGATTCTACATGCGAAGTTAGACATTGTCTTGAGACATCCAGTGCACCATCAAAAGAACAATGACATATAAACCTAAAATAGTCAAATATCACAAGAAATAAGACATTTATAACACAGTAAAACCAGGCGAGCACTCTTCCTCCAAGTCCGTGTGTATGCAGTGAGCTACCTCAGATTCTCCAGCATGGCCAGCTACCCATCAGTGTCTCACCTTGAATGATAGTTCCATATTTTCTCCACCCCAGAGTTCAAACTGTGGGTCGTAGGTTCCAAGGTGCTCAAAGAATTGTTTGTTGATCATGAACAGTCCTCCGGCCATGGTCGGAGATCTGGGAGGAGAGTGATCACATTTATGAAGTAGGCGAGTCCTGTCTGGAGCGCTACTTTGCTGTGGTGCAAGAGGAGCACCTTGACTGTATCGTGTCTACATGTTGACAGCAGTCAAGTGAAATGGGAAGTATCTACAGCATTACCTACTGATACAATAATGACAGTCATTCAGTGAATAATATTTTACATCGGAAGTAGTAGCAGCAGAACCATCAATAACAGTAGTAGTAGTAGTAGAAGTAGTAGTAGTAGAAGTAGTAGTAGTAGTAGTAGCAACGATAGTAGTTGTAGCAGTGGACGAACCAGATGCAGTAGCAGCAGTAGACGTAGAAGTTACAGTGGCAGCAGTAGACGTAGCAGAAACAGTGGCAGCAGTAGACGTAGCAGATACAGTGGCAGCAGTAGACGTAGCAGAAACAGTGACAGCAGTAGACGTAGAAGTTACAGTGGCAGCAGTAGACGTAGCAGAAACAGTGGCAGCAGTAGACGTAGCAGAAACAGTGGCAGCAGTAGACGTAGCAGAAACAGTAGCAGCAGTAGACGTAGCAGAAACAGTAGCAGCAGAAGACGTAGCAGAAACAGTGGCAGCAGTAGACGTAGCAGATACAGTGGCAGCAGTAGACGTAGCAGATACAGTGGCAGCAGTAGACGTAGCAGATACAGTAGCAGCAGTAGACGTAACAGAAACAGTGGCAGCAGTAGACGTAGCAGAAACAGTGGCAGCAGTAGACGTAGCAGATACAGTGGCAGCAGTAGACGTAGCAGATACAGTGGCAGCAGTAGACGTAGCAGATACAGTGGCAGCAGTAGACGTAGCAGATACAGTGGCAGCAGTAGACGTAGCAGATACAGTAGCAGCAGTAGATGTAACAGAAACAGTGGCAGCAGAAGACGTAGCAGAAACAGTGGCAGCAGTAGACGTAGCAGATACAGTGGCAGCAGTAGACGTAGCAGATACAGTGGCAGCAGTAGACGTAGCAGATACAGTGGCAGCAGTAGACGTAGCAGAAACAGTGGCAGCAGTAGACGTAGCAGATACAGTGGCAGCAGTAGATGTAACAGATACAGTGGCAGCAGTAGACGTAGCAGATACAGTGGCAGCAGTAGACGTAGCAGAAACAGTGGCAGCAGTAAACGTAGCAGAAACAGTGGCAGCAGTAGACGTAGCAGAAACAGTAGCAGCAGTAGACGTAGCAGAAACAGTAGCAGCAGTAGACGTAGCAGATACAGTAGCAGCAGTAGACGTAGCAGATACAGTGGCAGCAGTAGACGTAGAAGATACAGTGGCAGCAGTAGACGTAGCAGAAACAGTGGCAGCAGTAGACGTAGCAGATACATCGGTAGCAGTAGACGTAGCAGATACAGTAGCAGCAGTAGACGTAGCCGATACATCAGTAGCAGTAGACGTAAGAGATACATCAGTAGCAGCAGTAGACGTAGCAGATACAGTAGCAGTGGACGTAATAGATACATCAGTAGCAGCAGTAGACGTAGCAGATACAGTAGGAGTAGACGTAATAGATACATCAGTAGCAGTAGACGTAACAGATTCATCAGTAGCAGTGGACGTAATAGTTACAGTAGTAGCAGTAGACGTAACAGATACATCAGTAGCAGTGGACGTAATAGTTACAGTAGTAGCAGTAGACGTAGCAGATACAGTAGCAGTGGACGTAATAGATACATCAGTAGCAGCAGTAGACGTAGCAGATACAGTAGGAGTAGACGTAATAGATACATCAGTAGCAGTGGACGTAATAGTTACAGTAGTAGCAGTGGACGTAATAGTTACAGTAGTAGCAGTAGACGTAACAGATACATCAGTAGCAATGGACGGAATAGATACATCAGTTGCAGTAGACGTAACAGATTTATCAGTAGCAGTGGACGTAATAGTTACAGTAGTAGCAGTGGACGTAATAGTTACAGTAGTAGCAGTGGACGCAATAGTTACAGTAGTAGCAGTGGACGCAATAGTTACAGTAGTAACAGTACTACCTGACTGGGCTAGTAATGTCTTGTCTGTCCACATTGTCATGTTCAGTGATAGGCTCCCATCTGAAGTTCATGTCCCAGTAGAAGCCCCCCTTTGCAGACACTAGATCCTCCGGTTTATGCTTGAACTCGAATGTGCTATGGTCTATGCTAGGGATTACTGGCCACACCACAACTGTCGGGTCGTGGTGGACTCGTGCAAGTTGTGGCTCCGCCCATCCTGTGTCAAAAAGATTGTTTATTTCTCACATGTAAGACTATTGTACCAGAGGCAAGAGTATCACTTTCATTCTGTGATATAAATCGTTTTTGCCTAAACCATATTGGATACAAACGATTTTATTGATATTAGTCCAACATTTGTATTGAGTTTTCTGTACTCGACATACAATAACGAAGTCATGATTACACAATTTCATGATGTCTATGAATATAAAATCTTTTTCGACATCATTTCTAACTCCAATAAGTATTTAACTGCCGGGCAAATAAAGTAAACACTTGAAAATTGGATTTGACAAACAAATAACAAATGTTATCAAAACGTTACGAGTCGCTGAAACAACCCATTGAACAACTGCCGTATCCATATCAAATACATGATTATTGAATAACCAGTTTGTTTCATTTTAGACACTATCAGAAGTGGGAGTTTACTTTCTTTTGCCCAACAATTTAAGTGAAACAGTTTAAGACGCTCAGAAATATATTTGCAATAACATTCTAAAGAATATCCGGAAATAAGTTAGTTTCGCATCAAACATGTTCAATTGATTAATTTGCAAAGTACTGACTTAATGTGGTATACATGGTGAAGTATGACAGTCAAGCACTGAACGCATCATGCTAAATATGTGCATAATAGTAACTTGTCCTTTGATAAAAAAAAAGTCAACATGAGTCGATAAAAGCTTAAATATCATTATGATGTTGAATATGTAGATCCGAGCATTCATTGTTTGATAGGTTCCTGAATATTTGCTGCTCTTTAAGGATTATTTCAACTTGTCTTTGAGTACAATAGTGCCACGACACTGTGGTTCATCCGGATGTGTAGTCAACAGCTTAAAATAGTAAAAGTAAGACAATGACTTAACAAAAGATTTCCAAATATTTTCTGCATGGATAAATAATGAGGACTAATTGACGAGTAACTACATTTTATCAATATTTCTTAAGCCTCAACATAAAAAAAACATTTTCACATTTTTCTATTTTTAAATGTAGCTTATTTATGTTGCTGATTTAATCCCTTCTAACATATTATGGCGATACACATTTACGTTCACAATATTTAGACACAAAAACATCGTCTGTGGCTTAAATGCCTTGCTTGGAGCCTTTAGTCTTCTTATAACCATTATCGTTGATAGAATAGGTCCCCAGAAGTCGTGGGTCGTTTGCTCATATTTGGACTGTTGGACTGTTGGGAAATTTGCGTTTATAAATATACTAGCAATGAAACCGTGGTATTTGAAAAATATGTGATGTCATCATAAGTGATAATATACTACTCTCAACTAACTAAACGCCTTCCAAATTTCATCATATTTTGAACATTAATGGCTGGGTAATAGTTGTAATAAGAATTTTCAATATTGCTGCCTTTGTACTTTTTACCTCTGATAATTGGTTTAACAAAAAAAAGGTAAAATTGCAGCTTCACTGGTCCAGTAAAGTTGGTTTTTTTGTGAGAGAACGTTCACAAAACGAATTAAGAGCATGATCAAAGTACAAAAATGATATCACGGTAATTTATAATATAGCAAAATAAAATACAGCAAAATATACCAGTATAAATGTGCTACTATAATGACAATTAGCAAAACATATTTTGTATTTCCTTTTGAAAACAAATGAAGTAACTGCCACAAACAGGTTTTTAAAATGGCTGCCGTGACCGCAATATTGAAAATCGGAACAACACCTAATGAACAAATTGGGGTGACATCATTGGTGGGGACAACTATGTCAAGTTTCATCGGCGATAATGGTTTCGGAGAAGATGTTAACGGCGGACAGGCCAAAGTTACAAGTAAATAGTGACATGCGAGTAGCAGTTGTTGGCACAGGAGTATGTATAATATAGTAAATCAACTGCAAACTGCAGAAATTGACCCAAACTGATATATTGAGTATTAATAAGCGGAATCTCTATGGAGACGAAGGATACTTTAAAACATCAATTACATCAACGAATAAGTTAATTTTCGTTAAGTTACAAGGCTGTGGCTTCCTCTTCGTGGGGACGATGGGACTTAGCAGCGCTTCGCATTACTGATATACTTGGAGTGAGTGAGTGAGTTTGGTTTTACGCCGCTTTTAGCAATATTCCAGCAATATCACGGCGGGGGACACCAGAAATGGGCTTCACACATTGTACCCATGTCGGGATTCGAACCCGGGTCTTCGGCATGACGAGCGAACGCTTTAACCACTAGGCTACCCGACCGCCCCTGATATACTTGGAAATATTGTCACATCTTAGGTTTCGGTGCGTATTATAACCCAAATATCGGCATGCTTCTTCTTTGTTATGATAACTCAACCATTTCCTCGGTACATCGGTAAATTCACAGGCACATACCCATCACACATTCGCAATGCGAGTCAAGGAAAGTTAGAACTTCCGCCTTGGCGACTTCCGTCCCCATCAGCCTCGCTCTCACTAGCCCCTCCCTCTTGGGTGAGCGAATGACCTTGACCTTTGGCAACTTGGCGACATGTGTGTCCAAATCCTTTTTCAGATGAACTATAATAACGACACAATGGCTTGTATAACACTCGTATTATCAAAAACCTTTTATTGAGCATTCCACAAAATAGTTTACAGCATGCAGGTCGTGTGAGTAGTATATCATCTCAGTAAGGGCTCTATTTATAATGATTTGGTTAAGTTGCGTTTTTTTAGTCGGAGGGCAAAGTAAAACAATAATTTTGAAAACATTGTTTAAATCATCTCATATACAATACTTTTAAGAACCAGAGAGGTTTAGCTCTACTTACCCATGGTAGAGGCGTCATCAACAAGGATTATTTCTTCCAGTAAGCGCGGATGTGTCGTCTTCAATACGCTGTGAACGGTCCGCAAAAGCGTCGACCAAGCCTCGTTGTGAAAACAGATTATTACGCTCATTCTTGGAAGTGACCATGAATAAGTCTGACTTCTGCACCTGGTGATGACAAAGAGTGTTGTGTGGTGTAACCTCCAATATCATAGAAATTTACATATAACCAGTATTACATTACACATTACTATAAAACCCATTTCTAATCCTGTAAGATTCATTCCACAACACTGCTTATTGCCATCTAAAACGATAGTCACAGTGCTACCTTTCAAAACTATAAGATATAATACTACCAACCAGTAATGTCATATCTTATCATTTTAACAAAGATACACATAACAAATATAAGATGCAAGACCACTAACAAGGTTGCCTATTCGTGCAGCATTCTTAGCGCTAAGATTGTCGTAAAGGATGTCGTTGCAAAACAAATCTTAGCTGATCAATTCTCAAGGCTGCCATATGTTAAGTCTACAACACTAAAAGACAGGACAGGACCTATCCTACATGTAGGCATTTCTCTCATTATGGATTCAAGATAATATTATGTAGATCCAGACCCAAACACGTGCCAGGGAGGGAACGGGCGCCAGATTCCATCACTAGATGAATGCTAATGGAGACAGAAACCATCATATCCCTGGTTAATGGATCAGTGTACACTCCATTTTCATTCTCAGCTCCATTTGGGAGTATACAGCCATAATAGCTTTGTGATATCGTCGTGTGCCTCCGGAATACAAAAATTCCTCGATCACATCTTGAACGCATCTGTGCCGGGTGCTATGTTTGTACGAGACAGGGATGGAGATACAGGTGGAGGCAATACATGCACTGTTCATCCTATACTATGAGAACAACTTTAGATGCATTTCGATTTTTCATTCTCCAATTTCTTGACCACCAATTAAACTGTTGTTTTGGTATTGGTGAAAATTTCTCAACTCACAGTGGGTGCCTGAGGTCGGGCAGGTCCCTGCTTAGTGGTATTCTATCACTGACAAACTGGTTGAAGGTGTTGTCTGACCACCCCTTATCGTACAGCTCCTTCTCCTCGGGAGACAGTTTTTCAGGGTCTATGATCACTGGCGCTCCCATGAACCCTGACAAGACATAAAGATGCATCTGTACATGGGTGGGCTTTGGAGGATGAAAGGAGACACCAGAGAGTGGCGTTGTGTTTTAACTGAGTTAGTGACCTAAGAAGCAGCACAAGGAGGGTCTTGGTCGACTTGACATGAACCTGCAGCCCACAGCTTTGTGTTACTCACACTTATCGGCTAATACAAAGACAAAGAAGAAAATATCAATAATGCTTATTGCATAGTCACATAGGTCTGCAACCTGACAACATTACAGTACATTCTGAACGATGTTAAACCAACATCGGGGCTCCAAGGCCTGAAATGATTCCGACACACACGACCGCCCAGTTCCACAGTACGCTTACATATGTTTGCCCGTTTGGTCGAGGTTTGTATCAGGAATAGTGGATCTGGCGTTTATTAAGAATATAGATTTTGCTACTCAACCTCAAATTCCCTAACTAATTTCACTCATCTCCCCCCCCCCCCCCCCCCCCCCCCTCCGGACCACCCTGACCTACTGTTACGCAAGCTAGTTTACCCTATACGTCCAATACCTGGTGGTGTCACTTGAGCACTGTCATCGTTGTAGGTGTTGTCGTAAGCGGCATCTCCATGTACGATGGATTTCAGATTCTTCGCCTCCAACTGTCTCACCCCGGCTCGGATTGGCTTTTGCTTTTTCTTTTGTAAACTCAAGTCCGGTACTTGATTGAGTAATACCTTTGCAAGAATGTCATTTCTCATTGGTTTCTCCTCAGCATGCTCTGCATTTTCCGTTCTAACAGCCAACACCGTCTGACCTTTATTATTCAATTCTACTGATTTCATTCTTAAAAGTTCGAGTTCCCGTGTGCCTGTGTCGTCAATGAGGCGAAGTAAATGAAATGATATAATAAATGTGTACACAATAACAAAAAGGCCAATGACCTTCACTTCCTTCCATCTGAGTGAAATGATGTGCATGTTTTGCTGGGTGGAACTTTCTCCCACAACACGTTTGAGAAGACACTGCAAGGATAAAGTCAGTGCATGTATTCATTTTTAGTACTTTAATGAACTGCAACACGTTAACATAAAACATTGGATAACAAGCAATAACAGTAAGAGTGAAGGGATATAGATGAATCGTGTGAACTAAAGCAAGGGATTTTGGTATGATATTGTCACCCTTGTAGATATATTAACCACCCGCCCCACCCACCCCACCCACCCAACCCCAATAATGAATGATAGATTCTATTCAATCGAGGACACACACTTATTAGTTTGCTGCAAAACCTGAATGTTTGGAAAAAGGTAGGTCTATATTCGTTTAGCTCGCCTGGCCAATATACAGGTTATGATAACCTTTTAAACAAATAGGTCAGACCCCACTTCACAACATAATTGGCGTTAGTCAGAATCAGATCTGCTACCAACGATGTTTTTTGGTAGTGAAAGACTCAAGTCTCTGGTCACGAAGCTGACTGGAGGTTGTTCTAAAGAATCAGGAACTGAGTTATATCCCGTTAGCTGACTGGTACCTCAGTAAGGTGATGTTAGACGACTGGTACCTCAGTGAGGTGATGTTTGCTGACTGGTACCTCAGTAAGGTGATGTTAGCTGACTGGTACCTCAGTAAGGTGATGTTAGCTGACTGGTACCTGAGTAAGGTGATGTTAGATGACTGGTACCTCAGTGAGGTGATGTTTGCTGACTGGTACCTCAGTGGTTTAATGTTAGCTGACTGGTACCTCAGTAAGGTGATGTTTGCTGACTGGTACCTCAGTGAGGTGATGTAAGCTGACTGGTACCTCAGCGAGGTGATGTTAGCTGACTGGTACCTCAGTGGGGTCATTTTATGTAACTGGTACCTCGGTAAGGAGATGTTAGCTGACTGGTACCTGAGTAAGGTGATGTTTGCTGACTGGTACCTCAGTGAGGTGATGTTAGCTGACTGGTGCCTCAGCGAGGTGATGTTAGCTGACTGGTACCTCAGTGGGGTCATTTTATGTGACTGGTACCTCGGTAAGGAGATGTAAGCTGACTGGTACCTCAGTGAGGTGATGTTAGCTGACTGGTACCTCGGTGGTGTGATGTTTGCTGACTGGTACCGGAGTAAGGTTATGTTAGCTGACTGGTACCTCAGTGAGGTGATTTTTGCTGACTGGTACCTGAGTAAGGTTATGTTTGCTGACTGGTACCGGAGTAAGGTTATGTTAGCTGACTGGTGCCTCAGTGAGGTGATGTTAGCTGACTGGTACCTTAATTGGGTGATGTTTGCTGACTGGTACCTCAATAAGGTGATGTTAGCTGACTGGTACCTCAGTGAGGTGATGTTAGCTGATTGTTTCCTTAATGGGGTGATGTTAGCTGACTGGTACCTGAGTAAGGTCACGTCAGCTGACTGGTACCTGATTTAGTTGATGTTAGCTGACTGGTACCTCAGTGAGGTGATGTTAGCTGACTGGTACCTCAGTGAGGTGATGTTAGCTGACTGGTACCTTAATGGGGTGATGTTTGCTGACTGGTACCTCAGTGAGGTGAAGTTATCGGACTGGTACCTCAGTGAGGTCATGTTAGCTGACTGGTACCTGATTAAGGTGATGTTAGCTGACTGGTACCTGAGTAAGGTGATGTTAGCTGACTGGTACCTCAGTGAGGTGATGTTAGCTGACTAGTGCCTCAGTGAGGTGATGTTAGCTGACTAGTGCCTCAGTGAGAGGATGTTAGCTGACTGGTACCTCAGTGAGGTGATGTTAGCTGACTAGTGCCACAGTGAGGTGATGTTAGCTGACTGGTACCTCAGTGAGGTGATGTTAGCTGACTGGTACCTCAGTGACGTGATGTTAGCTGACTGGTACCTCGGTGAGGTGATGTTAGCTGACTGGTACCTTAGTGAGGTGATGTTAGCGGACTGGTACATTAATGGGGTGATGTTTGCTGACTGGTACCTCAGTGAGGTGAAGTTATCTGACTGGTACCTCAGTGGTGTGATGTTTGCTGACTGGTACCTGAGTAAGGTGGTGTTTGCTGACTGGTACCGGAGTAAGGTTATGTTAGCTGACTGGTACCTCAGTGAGGTGATGTTTGCTGACTGGTACCTGAGTAAGGTTATGTTTGCTGACTGGTACCGGAGTAAGGTTATGTTAGCTGACTGGTGCCTCAGTGAGGTGATGTTAGCTGACTAGTACCTTAATTGGGTGATGTTAGCTGACTGGTACCTGAGTAAGGTCACGTCAGCTGACTGGTACCTGATTAAGTTGATGTTAGCTGACTGGTACCTCATTGAGGTGATGTTAGCTGACTGGTACCTCAGTGAGGTCATGTTAGCTGACTGGTACCTGATTAAGGTGATGTTAGCTGACTGGTACCTGAGTAAGGTGATGTTAGCTGACTGGTACCTCAGTGAGGTGATGTTAGCTGACTAGTGCCTCAGTGAGGTGATGTTAGCTGACTAGTGCCTCAGTGAGGTGATGTTAGCTGACAAGTGCCTCAGTGAGAGGATGTTAGCTGACTGGTACCTCAGTGAGGTGATGTTAGCTGACTAGTGCCTCAGTGAGGTGATGTTAGCTGACTGGTACCTCAGTGAGGTGATGTTAGCTGACTGGTACCTCAGTGAGGCGATGTTAGATGACTGGTACCTCAGTGAGGTGATGTTAGCTGACTGGTACCTTAGTGAGGTGATGTTAGCGGACTGGTACCTTAATGGGGTGATGTTTGCTGACTGGTACCTCAGTGAGGTCATGTTATCTGACTGGTACCTCAGTGAGGTCATGTTAGCTGACTGGTACCTTATTAAGGTGATGTTAGCTGACTGGTACCTGAGTAAGGTGATGTTAGCTGACTGGTACCTCAGTGAGGTGATGTTAGCTGACTAGTGCCTCAGTGAGGTGATGTTAGCTGACTAGTGCCTCAGTGAGAGGATGTTAGCTGACTGGTACCTCAGTGAGGTCATGTTAGCTGACTAGTGCCTCAGTGAGGTGATGTTAGCTGATTGGTACCTGAGTAAGGTCATGTTCGCTGACTGGTACCTCAGTGAGGTGATGTTAGCTGACTAGTGCCTCAGTGAGGTGATGTTAGCAGATTGGTACCTTAATGGGGTGATGTTAGCTGACTGGTACCTGAGTAAGGTCACGTCAGCTGACTGGTACCTGATTAAGTTGATGTTAGCTGACTGGTACCTCAGTGAGGTGATGTTAGCTGACTAGTACCTCAGTGAGGTGATGTTAGCTGACTGGTACCTCAGTGAGAGGATGTTAGCTGACTGGTACCTTAGTGAGGTGATGTTAGCGGACTGGTACCTTAATGGGGTGATGTTTGCTGACTGGTACCTCAGTGAGGTGAAGTTATCTGACTGGTACCTCAGTGAGGTCATGTTAGCTGACTGGTACCTGATTAAGGTGATGTTAGCTGACTGGTACCTGAGTTAGGTGATGTTAGCTGACTGGTACCTCAGTGAGGTGATGTTAGCTGACTAGTGCCTCAGTGAGGTGATGTTAGCTGACTAGTGCCTTAATGAGAGGATGTTAGCTGACTGGTACCTCAGTGAGGTGATGTTAGCTGACTAGTGCCTCAGTGAGGTGATGTTAGCTGATTGGTACCTTAATGGGGTGATGTTAGCTGACTGGTACCTGAGTAAGGTCACGTCAGCTGACTGGTACCTGATTAAGTTGATGTTAGCCGACTGGTACCTCAGTGAGGTGATGTTAGCTGACTGGTACCTCAGTGAGGTGATATTAGCTGATTGGTACCTAAGTAAGGTGATGTTTGCTAAATGGTACCTCAGTGAGGTGATGTTAGCTGACTGGTACCTGAGTAAGGTGATGTTTGCTGACTGGTACCTTAGTGAGGTGATGTTAGCTGACTGGTGCCTCAGTGAGGTGATGTTAGCTGACTGATACCTCAGTGAGGTCATTTTATGTTACTGGTACCTCGGTAAGGAGATGTTAGCTGACTGGAACCTCAGTGAGGTGATGTTAGCTGACTGGTACCTCAGTGAGGTAATGTTAGCTGACTGGTACCTCAGTGAGGTGATGTTAGCTGACTAGTGCCTCAGTGAGGTGATGTTAGCAGATTGGTACCTTAATGGGGTGATGTTAGCTGACTGGTACCTGAGTAAGGTCACGTCAGCTGACTGGTACCTGATTAAGTTGATGTTAGCTGACTGGTACCTCAGTGAGGTGATGTTAGCTGACTGGTACCTCAGTGAGGTGATGTTAGCTGACTGGTACCTCAGTGAGAGGATGTTAGCTGACTGGTACCTTAGTGAGTTGATGTTAGCGGACTGGTACCTTAATGGGGTGATGTTTGCTGACTGGTACCTCAGTGAGGTGAAGTTATCTGACTGGTACCTCAGTGAGGTCATGTTAGCTGACTGGTACCTGATTAAGGTGATGTTAGCTGACTGGTACCTGAGTTAGGTGATGTTAGCTGACTGGTACCTCAGTGAGGTGATGTTAGCTGACTAGTGCCTCAGTGAGGTGATGTTAGCTGACTAGTGCCTTAATGAGAGGATGTTAGCTGACTGGTACCTCAGTGAGGTGATGTTAGCTGACTAGTGCCTCAGTGAGGTGATGTTAGCTGATTGGTACCTTAATGGGGTGATGTTAGCTGACTGGTACCTGAGTAAGGTCACGTCAGCTGACTGGTACCTGATTAAGTTGATGTTAGCTGACTGGTACCTCAGTGAGGTGATGTTAGCTGACTGGTACCTCAGTGAGGTGATATTAGCTGATTGGTACCTAAGTAAGGTGATGTTTGCTAAATGGTACCTCAGTGAGGTGATGTTAGCTGACTGGTACCTGAGTAAGGTGATGTTTGCTGACTGGTACCTTAGTGAGGTGATGTTAGCTGACTGGTGCCTCAGTGAGGTGATGTTAGCTGACTGATACCTCAGTGAGGTCATTTTATGTTACTGGTACCTCGGTAAGGAGATGTTAGCTGACTGGAACCTCAGTGAGGTGATGTTAGCTGACTGGTACCTCAGTGAGGTAATGTTAGCTGACTGGTACCTCAGTGAGGTGATGTTAGCTGACTGGTACCTCAGTGAGGTAATGTTAGCTGACTGGTACCTCAGTGAGTTGATGTTAGCTGACTGGTACCTGAGTAAGGTGATGTTAGCTGACTGGTACCTCAGTGAGTTGATTGTTATCTGACTGATACCTCAATGAGAGGATGTTAGCTGACTGGTACCTGATTAAGGTGATGTTAGCTGACTGGTACCTCAGTGAGTTGATGTTAGCTGACTGGTACCTCAGTGAGAGGATGTTAGCTGACTGGTACCTTAATCGGGTGATGTTAGCTGACTGGTACCTCAGTGAGGTGATGTTAGCTGACTGGTTCCTCATTGAGTTGATGTTAGCTGACTGGTACCTCAGTGAGAGGATGTTAGCTGACTGGTACCTCAGTGAGGTGATGTTAGCTGACTGGTACCTCGGTGAGGTGATGTTAGCTGACTGGTGCCTCAGTGAGGTGATGTTAGCTGATTGGTACCTTAATGGAGTGATGTTAGCTGACTGGTACCTGAGTAAGGTCACGTCAGCTGACTGGTACCTGATTAAGGTGATGTTAGCTGACTGGTACCTCATTGAGGTGATGTTTGCTGACTGGTACCTCAGTGGTGTGATGTTAGCTGACTGGTACCTCAGTGGTGTGATGTTAGCTGACTGGTACCTCTGTAATGTGATGTTTGCTGACTAGTACCTCTGTAAGGTGATGTTTGCTGACTGGTACCTCTGTAAGGTGATGTTGCTATCAGTCGATTACTGAGATGCGGGAACGTTAGTGTTTCAAGTTGGTCACTTGATTGATCAGTGTTGGAATGCAAATGGTTCCTCCCGTATGCTCTGAAAATGAACATTTGATTGATTGTCTAATTTGTTATCATGGAAACTAGATATTTTGAGCGGTCTTTGAGTTATGCTCCATACCAAAATCAGACACTCACGTTATGCTCAAATTGTTCTCATGTAAAAGATACTTTTCAGAAATCCCTCAACACAAAAAGGAAGAAGTTTAGTGTATGTCCGAAGGTAGGCAAAGATTTGTGATAAAATATTGAAAAGTTCTCAGTGATGTTCCGGAATCCAAACGTGACCTATTCCAATATTCCCTACCTTTTCATGGTGTGGGATAATAATAACAAGCATCCAAGAATGGCGGATTATCTGTTGACAATAATGCATGCACAGCACACTTTCTTGTAGCCATACAAATCATCATTTAGGATTTATTGTTTGATGAGTGAGTGAGTTGTATTAGGTCATGGCAACTGATGTGGATGTGATGTGCCTACAAGCACAAGGTTGGTAGGCCAAGGGTCATAATACGGTGAATCTGGGATTGGAGAACAACATGAAACAAATGACGTGATATTGCTGAAATTATCAAAGCTCAGGCTCCGCAATTGACAATGGTCTGTCAGACCATATCTGTGATAACCCAAGCTACAGCATCCAGTGGGTTAAAGTCAAAGCCCTCACCACCAACCTCAAAGACTTTAAAATCAGAAAACTGCAGGAAACCACCAAAATCTAAAGACTCCAACCATCAATCAACCGTGATCAAGTCTATTACATACCCCCTGCGTACCATCAACTCTTCAAAGACCCTAATCAGTCATGTTCCTTTTGTTTATACTACTGGCTTAACCGGTGAGATTTTAATGTTTACCCTTTTGTGTACATTTTGTGTCTCCTCTCCAGTATAACTACATCCTAATCTACTCAACTGTATAAACACTGCCTCCTACCTGTATATTTACTTGTCAACCATACTCTGCAAAACCCTTGCTCGACAACGGTGTTAGAACCCTAAACCGAAACGTCGCTCCCAATTTTAATAAAGCAGTTGTTCATCCATATATCTTATCCTTACTTCACTGAAGTAATATTTCTGTGTGTTATTTTCTATGAAATACAGAAACATTTTATGCAGTTAAATTCGGCTATTACTTTAACATAAACATGCAGCACCCAGTCATACAAAATAGCTACAAATCCCTCAGTATAAATAAAGGAAGACTAATTTTAGTGCATTTTTATATTTATTTGCGAGGTGGTGGTCCTTCATTATTTTAAGTGGGGGGCTCAAACGTCAACCTGGTCATCTGATTAATCCATGGTATTCGAACTTGTTTATTGAGACTGACTAATACTAATTTACACATCAAATATGGAATATAAAATAAAATTATATAAATATGAAACAAAACGATCTGTAAAGTAGTAAAACCCAAAGACTTGCCAACTTGTATCGAAATACTCGATATCTAAAGCCCAGTAAGAATTTTGAATTGAGCAACGAATATTCCTTCTGCCGTACATTTGTGTAATGCAAAATACAAATCACAAAACTGCAAAGTGTATTTTCTAAAGTATTCTGGAGAGCAGCTGCAGTGACCATCAAGTGATGCTGACCACTGTTTTTGCTATGGGATATTGGGATGTCAGTGTGTATATTACATCCTATCATGATTATGAGCTTAAGTAACATTGTGCTCAACCTCACTCAGTATAGACTTTCTACACAACTTTCGAAGCATTATGATAATGGACCACTGAGAGACTTAAGGGAGTTAGGCAAACTGACTTACACAACTGTCTAGAGACTGCAGGAATCACAGCAATAATTTCCAATTCTAGGCCCACGGATGTCTGTATCAGTAATATTCCAGCCATATGACGGCGGTCCGTAAACATCGAGTCTGAGCCAGACAATATATTGATTGATATCATAAGCATCTATGTACGTGATTGGGATACGATGACACACACCAACCAAGTCAGCTGGCCTGACCACCCGATCCCTTCCGTCGCCTGTTACAAGTATGGGTGGTGGAAGGCTGTATCAGGCTGCCCTACACCAAGGAGGCTGTTGTGCTGTAAGACTGCCGGTCTCACTTTAGAATGTAAACAGAACATAAAGGGTAATCGAGGGCTTTATCCGGGTGTATCTAATAGAGACTCAACGCTAACACCATAAGCCCCGTTCAACAAAGCGATGTTATTGTAAATCAATGTGGAAGTATGGGATTTACCTTAGTCACTGAACGGGGCCCAGGTCACATTTTCGAACGAAACGACTCAGAGAAACCGACCGAAGGCAGAATGAATGCGACACGTGATGCCAAACGCTGGACAGTATGTACATTAATAAAAATTTAAAAAACTTTCCAAATGAAGAGGGAAAATAGTAAACGTTAGCCTTAATTTGCCGATCTCTAACGGAAGTATGAATTAATACGACGACAAATGTGAAAGGTTTTTTCTGGTTTGTGGAAGCCAACAGCCTGGCAACATGTGTGTGGTAATTCCTGTATTCTTACCAAATTCTTTCCAACTCTGTGGCTTACCGTCCGATATCGTCTTGGCACAGACTCATATGTAAACCTTCAAAACACTTAAGTTTGTTGTTGCACCTTACACTATGTAAGTATTGGTGATTGCTATACGACGTAGTGATACGCCAAGCATACTATATAGCATTCCTCTGTCACATTTGAAGTACTGGGTGTCTGACGAGGCGCGTGGCAACATTGTTGACATTTTTGCAGTTTCAGTCGATAGCATTTGAGTGGTTCAACGAACAACTGCATGTTGATTCACACACGCTCACCTAGAGGTGCGCCATGAAATATATCCTTCTATATTACGCAAGTGTAGCTTATATTATTTGCACTTCTTTGCTGTT